TATCTCGGCTACCCAAAGCCAGAAGGAAGCTGTAGTGCTATTCAGCTGCCAGTGCTTGTGTCCCTTCCTGGCTGTAGGTCTGTGCTGCAGCCGTGCTCCCAGCCACTGGCTCAGTGTGAAAACCAAGCTGCTCTGCACTCACTCACATGGGGACTGTGTCTGCTGGCATTTTCCTCTTGAAGTTAATTATTGAAATCACAGGTCAGTGCCTTCATAATCACCAGAAAATGTAAAATCATACTGCATTGCTACTTTTCATTTTCTTTTCATTTTTGAACAGCTATCATCTACAGCATTGAGGAAGTGAAAGAGTATTGTTTCAGGGCCATATCTTGGATTTTTTCCATTTAGGGACTTAAGGGTGCAGGAATTGATTTGATTATATTCTATGGTAGCAAACAGAATACAGGTAAAATCTTTACGTATTTTGTGTTTTAAGATATTTAATTTCTTAAAGGAATATCAGGAGAAATTAGGAGCAGAAGAATCTGTTTCATCTTGTTTGAGAAGAAAAAGATAGAAAGGCTTGGAAAGAAAATCATCACTTCCTTAAATAACTAGAGGTCGCTAAATGACCTCCACCATTCAGAAAATGGAAAATTTTGGCTAAAAGTATCTTCTGGTGCAGCCAAAAAAAAAAAGAAAGACAGGAACTAGAAATTAAAAAGCAACTTGAAACAAAATTATAAAAGGAAGTGTATAGTAATGGATATTAATTAGAAGTAAGAAGTATGGAAAATATATAAGGTAAGCCAAAGGAAATGAAATGTCTGTGCTTGGCAAGGCAAAGGATAATAATTTTTTTTAAATGTATTAAGAACAAAAATCCTAATAACATAAGCCACTAGATGGAGGTAGTAAGACTGTTACAAGTTATTTGGAAGAGCCATAGGTGTTTAATAAGTACTTTTATTCTGTATTTTGAAAAAGGCTTGATACTGTCTTCATGTCATGAGTATGCTGAGGCACTTTCCAAAATGCCTGGAAGAAAGAAAAGATGTCAAACAGCAGCTACTTAGACTAAAGACTATTTAAAATCAAAAAGCCAGGACAACATTTGCAGCAGTCCTAAAGGTTTTGTTGATGAGATCCCCATTTCTCCTATGCACCTGCTTGGAAAACAAAACAAAACAAAAACCCACCAAACAAAACAAACACACCCCAGCCCCAACAGCCTGCCCCCAAAGAAACCCCAAACTACCCATGTGAAACCACAGGGTATTATAGGAGTGCTAATGATGTGCTGATACTGAAATATAATTGATACTTATCCAATAATAGCATTACACTGTTTTCTAAGACCTGAAAAAGTCTCTAATTAATAATGCAACAAATTTTAGTTATTTTAGTTTAACCAAATATAAACAGACCATTTCATGATGTAATATTTTATTTTATTACTTGAGACTTTGTATTCTTTCAAACAAATGCACTATACAAGCATAAGGCATGTACACTTCTGATTAAGAAGAGGTTAATTGACAGATCCTCTACCTGCCAGATGCAACTAATTCCTGATAGCACAATGAGAAATACAAAGTACAGGTTGTTCTTATGAATGGATTGCATCCTGTAAATAAGAGTGAAAAAAAACATCTGGAATGCAAAATCTGTGCAGCATTTCCCAGTGAAACGCTTTGGATTTATAAATATAAATTTATACATTAAGAATTTAAAAATTGTGATATTATAAAGCACGAATTTGTTGATGAATCTTAAAAGGTATATTGCAAAATTGTATGGAGTGTTGGAAAGGTGGACAAAAAAGGTAAAATACTGACTAATTTGTTCACCTCAGCAAAGGTAATGATGGATTGTCTACATGTGATACATTCAAGCCCCACCCATTAATTAGAAAAAGAAATCATTGAATGCAATCTAGAAATAAAAATACGAGGGAAAAGGAAAGGAAAAATGGTTCATGTTGCAGTTGTTGTTGCCACCAGTTCCAGTTTTCATTCTTTGACTGAAAAAAATAATAGATTTTGTGTTCATGAAAATATCTTTGAGATAGACTAAGACAAGCTTCTAGGTCTTGTTGTCTGCTTCTAAGACTGTCTTCCTCTTTAAAATCATTATCAATATACATAGTGAAAGAGGCTTCTGCACTGGTTGTGTATTCATTCACATTCATTATCTTAAATCTTGTCACATGCTTAGAAGCAAAAGATGACAGGAGAGGGCATTTAGTGAAACAATAAGCAGCAGTAGTGCCTAAACTGTTGGTTTGATTTTATGTTGGCAAAATTCTGTGTGTTTCTGTAATCACTATCCATATCCGTAAGAATGAAATTCATAAAAATATGACCTTTCAGTTGCCACATCATCTGTGTTCAAGCTATAAAATACTAGAAATACATAAAAACCTATTTAATTGCTGTTTATATTTCTTAAGCCTTGTATGTAGAAAATCCCAGTTGCTTAAAGAGAACAGCAGTACAAGTACTGTTATTGAACTGATAGAGTCTGCATGGCAAAGATTTGTAAAGGCTCTCAAAATCAAAGGTGAGTCTTTGTTTGCCTCTTGAAAACACTTTTATAGGAGGTTCTGGTTAGCCATTTCCAATAGAGAATGGAGTATTTGATCAGATAGCAGCTAAACTAATGAAAAGCATCATGGAAGTGACAGGAAGATTAATTAAGTTCCTCCAGTTGTATTCACGTGTGGCAGTACAGAGTTCCTTTGGGTACTGCTGCAGTTAAATGGTATTCATGGTGACAAATATTGCAGATTTCCAGAAGTGACACTTCTGAATCAAGGGTAAAAAACACGTTTGGTAGTTTTAGCCAGCGGAGAATGTGCTAAACCAAAGATGAGACTTTATGGCTAAAATATACAAACATAACTTGTTTCTTCTCTTCTTATCCTTTAATGTAACCTCAGGAGATTAGTGACGGGTCACAAGTATCTACATTATTGTGTAGTATGTCTTAAACTACTCCAGATGGCTTCAAGATGAAAACAAACCAAATTTCTAGCCGATGTGCTTAGTGTATTTGATTTGAGGCACAAAAATATGTGCACTTGGAAATACTTTCAATTACTCTTGGAGCCTTACAAAACTGTGGCTTGTTTGCTGTTTTTTATTTCTGTGCCATGGTTACTGTAGTGCTAATAAGAATGAAATATTTGCAATAAATAAGTTTTCAAATTATGTAGAAGTTCTAGCCTTACTTCACCTTCAAGAATCTTTTAGTTTTGGAGTGGTTTTGGTGAATTAATAGGTCAAGTGTGATGTGGATTGCCTCTGCCACTTCATTTTCAGAAATGAATGTACAACATATTTTTATTCTTAATAGCTGTCTCTGTACAGTAGATGAAACTTATTTTAGGAACCCCCTTTCAACTGTATGAGATCTTTTAACCTATTACACATGATGCATAAGCTTAAAACATTGTGTCACTGGTGTATTTTTTTGCCTACCATTACGTTTCTGTCAGCAAAAATCCCTCAATATGCTTCTGCATTTGCAAGAAAAGGTTTGTGGTCAGCCTCACTAATTGAAATTCATCAAAGCCAACTGGTAAGAGTCTGGGTATAAATCTAATTAGTAATCTCTTGGGAGAATTCAAGACTGGAAGAGAGTTTTCCAGGAATCCTAGAGAATTAACTGGGTGCATTAATATTAAATATTAATTGGTCTCTGGAATGAACATGCCTTTAACACGTGCTATGGAGGCGTTGTGCATATCAGTGGATACACAAAAATCAGTAGAAAGCATAGATAATGCAACTGGTTCAAGAAGTGGCCTTCTGGCTCTAGACCAAGTCAGGAGTTTGGGATAACCTGTAGCTTTCCAATCTCTGGACAAAGGTAGTGTTTCTTGGATGTGTACTCTCAGCTTGCTTTTTCTTCATTTCAAGGTGCTAATGTCTTGGGCAGTCTGCATTTTGAAAATCTGCCTTTTGTGGCAAATCCTGTATCAAAGAGGGGTTCTAAAGTGAGGAAGTTTAGAAGGAAACAAGGTGGAGATGCTATTAGGGAAAAAAGAAGCAGATGGTTGGAAAAGAGGATTTCAGGGAATAGAAGCAACTTCTATTATTAGAAATAAGGGTGTGGGGTAGCTGGTTTAGCAGAAGGTACTTTCATGTTATGCTTATGCTGTGCTTTATCATGAGGGTTTGGGGGTTTTGTTTTTATAAGTAAACTATGCATGAAAATATGATAATTTTGCAGTTGACCTGCATCTGTAGTGAAGCTAAATGCTGTTTAGCCTGTACTGGCTTGTTGGTGGCTGGGAGTTTGCACCGTGAGCTGACATCATGGGCTAATTTGCTCATTCATTCCGCATGACCCTGCATGCCCAGAATGGGTCTACTCTAATCTTCAGATGCACACAAGTGTTTTCTGCTCCTCACTGTGCTTCCTTACATTTGTGTTCAGCAGAGTCCTCAGTGTTTGGGTTAAAACACCAGGAATTCAGGACTGCCATTACTAAACTAATCCTTGCTTTCACTGACAGTGACAATATCCCGCTCCAGGAATAAAATTTATTTGTTGTCCCTTGCTTGGAACTCTACTTCTTTTTGCAGATGATTAGTGTTGTATGTGTGTGAATGACAGCAGATTTTGGTTCGAGTATGTGAATTTGGGCTGTGAAAGCTATCCAGGAGACACCATCAGTGATTTTCTCTCCTCCCTTGTATTTGTTCCATAGTTGAAATGCAAAAAAATTAAAGAAAACTTCTTGGTTTACCTTCCCTTTGGCTACTTTGATGGTATGGTTACTATAAGAACACAAAAAAATATGCAGTAAGGGAGAGATAGTCCTGATTGTTTTGTGTACCAAAGTGCAAACCAAAAGTGGAGATAACATTCAGAACCAAGTAGTAAAGTGTATGTGAGTTTATGTGGTGTTTCACTGTTTACCCTTCCTGAGGAGATGACCTTCCATCAGGCTCCACCAAATTGGTATTGTAACAGAGCAGCCAGCTCCAGAAAGGATGTTTAAAGGCAGCAGGGTTGCTGTCTGACGCTAATTGTACATCTACACAGACATGGGCCGTGTCTACCTGGGCTCAGCTGGCCAGCGGATGGCACGAATCAGCAAGGCACCTCAGCTTGGAGGGACATCGAGGCTGGAGGTAGCCTACACCTCACCAGGGTCTGACTCCTGGCAGGGTGAGCCTGAGCTTTGCTGTGATAAGGTAAACATAGCCTGACAGGCAAATGTTGTGACTGGGTGCAGAGTGTCCTAAAGGGCATCACACAGGGCCTCTGCAAAAGCACTTTAGAGCTAGCAAAGTAGCTGAAGCTACTTTGAAATCACAGCAAATTGGTTCTCTGAGCTGTTACCCTCGGTGAGGGAGGGGAGGGAATGCTTGTGCTACAGAAGTCTTCTAATACTAGCTTATACCTACTGCTCAGGGCATGTTAGAGTGGCTCAGCTGAGATACTTTAAACCAGCATTTGACGGTGGTGTTTTCTCCTATAGTGAAGTGTCCTTCCTTGTACGGAAGTAAATGAGCATCGTAATGTTGAAATAGAGGAAAGGAAGGTGCCATGAAAACTCTCTGTTACTTGCTGTCCAAACCATCTAGTTAAAATACAGGTCATGATTTATAGGCAGCTCTTCTCCCCCAGCCGGGTTTCTAGATGGTGTTTCTTCACTTTGATATAGGATTTGCTGAACTTAAGTTGCCGTTAGTCAGTTTGAACCACACAAGAAGTCTTGATCTTCCTTCTTCAACCCAACATGGCCTCAAAGCACATTTCTGTATCATGTGCTCTTTAGTTGTGAAGCAAAGTTTATTTTGGAGTTTATCTGTGTATCTCTCATGTCAGATATGGCTCTTCCTAGGGGCAGCTGGAATAAGAAAGGGCACTAAGAAAGGCTAGGCAACAGAAATGGAGAACTGTGGGACTGTCAGTGAGGGACAGGACTCCAATTCATGCCCCACTTCTCCATGCCACTGTTTAATCTTGGTGGCTTGCGTATAGGTAGCATGAAACCTCATGAGAGCAGTGCTGCAGAGGGCTCGTGCTGAGAGGTGGTGTAGCAGTGATGTACACCTGGGCTCTTAACTCTTCTCCTCCAATTGGAGCATTCCTTGGCTGCTCTGCTGGTGGGATAACTTTGCCCTAAAAGATTGGACCTCATAAAATAGAAAAGCATGGAGCTTTTACAAATAAGAAGTGGAGCTTTAAATAAATCATACCTGTCAGCCTCTTTCCTGTAGAATGAAACATTCATCTCATTAGCTCCTATTATAATGAAATAAACAATTCTGCATACGGTCCATTATTTTTTACCTTTATTTAGTTTAAGTATATTACCAGTGATATATGCCAGACTGGCAGCAGGAAACCGATGTCCTCTGTAGATTTGCAGAACAGAAGTAATCTGTGCACAAATACAGACTGCATAGTCTTCACCACGCTGCCACACCTGTGTTTCAGATCCCTCTCGAGGCACTACACGTGGGTGGCAGAGAGTAGTTCAATATTTCTTTGGTCTTTCTTTCTCTAAAGCTGCTACTAGTTTGTGTAGCAGCAGGGATTGTGTGGGGACCTATTTACAGCAAACTGAGGGCCACTCCATTTGTCACAGAACAATAAAATAGCTGCTAATGACTTACCAGCCTGGGCCAGGAAGGAGCTGGAGACTTGGAGGATGAAGGGTTGTAAAATCCGTTACCAATCCTTGCTGTCATAGATCTGCCATCCTCATGCTTTGTTATTCCTGCAAGACATCACAGTTCAAAAAATCAGTTCAGCTCTATTGAAATTGAGCTACCTATTTTTCAGTTGTTTTTCAAAAATATAAACAGACTGAGCCCTATCCAACATTCAGATTAAAATAGTTTATTGAAGTGTAACTACTGATTTATATATTTAAAAAAAAAAAAAAAAAAAGGCGTAGGGGGACATGATCTTGCAAAGTGTCAAGCATGTTTATCTTTCACTAAAGTTGGGGGACCAGGGCACTCGGGTCTTCTCCGGGAGCCTACCCTTCAAAGAAAAATACACTAACAATATATGCTTTGTCTTTCCCATTGATTATGTAATTGAGCATGTTATGTCACTGAACGCATTTGCTGCCAAAAGAAAAAACACCCGTATGATTTTGGAAGGGCTGTTTTTTTTTTTTATTTTTCCAAGCCTGAGTTAGGTTAACCAGGATATTAGAGCACGTCGTTGCGAGCCTGTTAAAGAAAAGATCTGTTTGTAGTACTCCGAGCCCTGATGTCACAAGCCCAGCAAGGACATCAGAAGGAGGAGTCAGATTACAGTAAGAATGGGCAGTGCAGCATGCAGCCGGAGTAAACGCTAAATCAGACAGGGATTGTATCAGGGATAAGACTGCCTGCAAAGCGCTCTTCCTGAGGAGGCACGCTGCTCGCTCACGCTTCTGGTGCTGGGAAATTTCCACATGATGTAGAATGAAAGAGCTGTGTTTTACATGTCAGCCCTGTGCCGGAGCTAATGCTGAATACACAGCGGTGGGATCCTGACTGCATGATTAATGAGAAACATAATGTATTTTGGTAAGTGTGAACTAGGATGTAATTCTGCTTCTGCTCACGGTATAGCAATAGGAGTGATTATTATAAATTTCGGTTTGAAGAACATTTCGTGCTGGCACGCACCTAAAACTGACAACTGGGGAATCCTCCCGGCTGTGCAGTTTGAAAGGATTCCATTGTCTGGGAAATCTTCTGTTTGAGCGGGCTACCACATAGTTTTAGCAGCTTGAAAAAGAAGCGAGATGGGGTGAACTTATCTTGGGTTTGTTGTAGATGAACTTGTGTTTCATCTGCTGTGAGGGGATGAGAAATGGTTGTGAGGCATGGGAACTTTTAGATGAACTTAATGTAATGGACGGGCTGCTACTGCTCTGTCTGTGGTGGGGAGGCACAGTAAGCCTTAGGATTTCATTCAGCGTTTAGTTTGAAGAATTCACAGATACAGGGGCAAAACAATGCTTTATTTGCAGTGGTGTGTTTGCCGAGGACTCTGCGTTATGCAGATCACTAGTGTGGGGTTTGCTCCCAGCATACCACAAAATGCCTATTATTTTAAGCCTTTAGAGGTCTTGGAGCTGTTAAATATTTGTGGAGAGTTTAGTTTTCTTGCTTGATGGAAATCTTCCTCAGGCTTACAGCTGAGCTGGCTGCATACCCTAAAAACATGCTGGAGCATAGAGCTGTGTCTAAGCAATGTAGTGCTGCAGTACTGGGCTGGGATGTACAATAGCAATATAATGCTGCAAGTTGGTGCTGCTAAATAGCAAAAAAAAAAAAAGAAAATTCAGTGGTGTGATGGAAAAATACTATTCGTGGCTACTTGAAATCTCATCTAGCCTCAGTGTTAATTTATAGCTGCATAATACTTAGAATGAACACGGAGCAGAGAGCTGGAGGATTTCTGGGACATTCAGCAGCTTTCTCAGTTTCATTAAATATTGAATCAAGAGTTCACTTCAAGCTTTAAGAGAAGAACTTTTGTAATATTCTGCACCCTGTCACAAAATTACTGTGCTTTATGACATGCTAAGCATTATTTTCTTTTTTTGCATAAAATTAAAAATACAGGAGAAGGATGTTGTCTTTAACAGTGACACTCAGATTGATTTTGATGTCAGCTGTCCTAACAGAAAAAAATATAAATTGACAGAGTTGTAAGAACTGTTCAGAGTCCCTTTCAAAGATAAATTTGCAATGTTTTAGATTCACTACATTTTCTAAAAATTGAGGAAAAATAGACAAGCATTATGGTTTTAGGTTTGAATAATTTGGATTAAGTCTCTTCACCGTTAAAAATGTGGCATTAGGTTATTTTTTTTCTCAGTTGTTTGGGTTATTTTTCTACCTTTAATAGCATCGCAAGTGTGAGATGGATTTTCTTTTTTTTTTTTACAGTGAGTTTTGCAACAAATGCCTGTGTGACTAGGATTAGAAGTTGTGGTTTCCTGAAGTTATACCGGTTAGGGTATTAGGTATATGTTAACTGCATGGTACTTAATTTTATAATTTTCTTCTGTCTATAAGGTTCAAAAACATCTAATGGTGATCAAACCTCTTTTGGTGTTACTTCTTTGAAAAAATACAAACTTCACATGCTTATTTGTTTCTGATGCAACACGAGTTTTTAATTAGAACAAACTGGATTGTGCTTTCTGCTATGTAGGAGATTTCACTTCTGAGAGCAGAGCTGAAAGTTTCTGCTAGGCAGGTTCTCGGTCTGCTATGTTCAGTTTTGAACATCCTTTAATCTTAAATTTTAAATGAATGTTCTTGTCTATGACTTTTGCATGACAAAGCATGAGCTAATGTGGATAGTGTTGACCTGTGGTAGTTCTGGGACTTTTCCTGCTCTGTCTGTGAGAAGCCAGAATGTCTGTAATCTCACCTGTCCCTGTTGTAACACTTACTGCACAGCACAGTGTTGCACAGAGCTGAGTGAAAGCTCAACTGCGTACCTCGCGCATCTATTTTGACTTAAGATTGCTATAGCCGTCACGTAGAAAATACTGATATTTTATAATTTCTGAGGGGAAAAAAAAAAAGTCCTTTCAATATTAGTAAAGTATTTTGTGGTTTTTCTTTGTGCATGCTACTATTGGGCCACCTGAAGGATAGGAAGGGAAGAAAAAGAAATCATTTCTGTACATGTGTATGCATCTTGCTTATTTTTCTGGGCCTTCTTGTCTAATTGCTGCTGATGTAAGGTGGCATAGTGGGAATGTACATGTACAGCATTAATGTTGAGATAAATACTGAAATAATTACCGTGGAAAGTAAGACCTAACCCTCTGAAAGTATTATTTTTATAGAGCAAGTATTAATGGGTGAAGTGAGTTTCTTAACCATCAGAGAGAAAAGTTGCTAAATTCAGGAACTGTTCATAGCGTTTCTTGCTCTCTTTAGAGCTGTAGCCTCCAAGAAGATTTTGAGCTGAGATATTCTACTGTATTCTACTATGTATATTCTAGTATTCAAGCTGAGCCTTCAAATAATTAAACTTATTGTGACTCTTCTAATTGCATGAGCCTTTCTTTTACATTGCACCAGAATTTTGATGGAGTGGTTTCAATAACTGCTAGTTTTCACTCACTGTGTTGTGCTTTAGAGTTTGTTTTTTGGTCACCGTGGATACGTTTGTTACTGATTGTATTGGGTTTGCATTCATCATTTCAAGTTGAACA